ACACGTTCACATTGTGCCAACAATCACATACCTTCCTGTTTCAAATATACTCGTGCCTTTTTTTTTAAATGTGTTGTTTGTGTCAGAGAAAAGGTAAATTTTGCTGTACTTAATGTGTTGTAAAGGAATTTCTTCTCCCCTCCCCCAGAGAGCTCATCAAGCAAATTGGGACGTGCAAGTGTTCCCAGATCCAAGCCACACACTCCAAGCTATTCCTTAGCAAAGGCAAAGGATGACAAGTGTCAGTACTTCATACAACTAGATTTAATAAGTTGTTATTACAGAAAAAAAAATGAAGTCCAAACTACAAAGTTGAAGCAGTTTTAAGCAATAGCTGCATCGAGCTCCATGTTTAGTCACAGTTCTGCAGTTCCGTACAAGCCATACAGTCCAAGCCCCAAAGGCGGTAGCTGAGTAAGGGTTACTAGCAAAAACAATCTAAGAGAACAGGTAATAAAAGATACAATACATTTAAAATTAGTTGTTAGTTGAAAAACAAATACAGAGATCTTAGCTGTGAACACTCTAAAAGTTATGTCCATTATTTTGACAGCAAAAATACAAATACCTAATACTTTATACCCCAACAGAACTATATCCAGAAAAGGAAAAGAGCAGAAGTTATCCTGTGTTAGCACCCAAGTTTCCTCCTTGTTGCATTAACTTCATCGTCTTACCAATTTAAACACCCCCGAATCACATATCCACTTCTTGACCCATTTTGGGGTATAAAGTCAACAACATTAATTATAAAATACTCTGTGGTAAAATGGAACACTATTGCAGCTGAGATAGAGAAGTTTGGTTATTATTAAAAAAACAGACAGAAAATGTGAGCTGACATACCATACAAACTGGTGAAAAAGCAACAATCTGTACAAATAAGCCAGTTTTAACAAAAAGATACTTTTTTTCACTAATCTGTGACTAATCTTTCACTCAAACCTTGCAAGTAGAGATGTCACAATACTCAAATATTTAGGTAGGAGCTTTACCCAGTTAAATGCCATTTTGTTGCTAATATAATAGATAAAATGAAAACTAGCAGTTATTTGCTAATTGCATAAATGCAGTACATTCTGCATTAGCCCATGCCTCACTAACAAGCTATAAAACACAAGATATAGGCAGAAATCTAAGCATAATCTTTATACCACTAAGCAAGAATTTTCCAATTTCTTTTCTTCTGTTCCTAATCACTTATTTGTAGTTAATGTAAAATTCCAACCAGAAGTAACCAATTTGAGTTAAAATTTTACATCACAACTTGATCTAATCTATATATTATTTACAAAACTGAATACATGGAGCATACCCAAGAGCCAACTCTGGACATGTTTCTCCGAGTAATTGATCACCTCGCCTCCGTGGCAACCGGACTGGAAGAGGCCATCAAGGACTAGTAGAAACTCACCATCTATCTAGAGCAAGTCATTGGATGTTCTGTTTACGCAACACCAGTTTTGCAGTTGTAAGATTTTTGTTGGTTTGTTGTAATTTTAGGTGCCATTTCAATGACAGGCTGCCTTAATAGCCCAGCTTCAAGGTGAGGTGGGTGTTGGAAAAGCAGCAGGAGGGCAGACAGATCATGCTTGGAGGGGCCATTTGTGTTGCCACAATAAGGGACAAACAAGGGACACCATACAGGGAACAGGCAGGGGGTGGAGGAAGAGGAAGTCTGAGACCGTCCATATACAGGGGTGACGTCCAAGTGTGCTTCCTCAGCACGCCACCCAAGCCATCCCGGGAGGTAACTCAGGTGAGACACTGCCATCCAAGTCTAACTACACAGAAGGGGTGTCCTCCCAGCACCTTCCTTTCACTCTCAGACGTCACCACTGTGAATGCATGGAAAAGATTTGGCCTGGGCGAAAGGCACCGTCTCACACATGGACAGCAGCTGGTGGCAGATTCTCACATACACACACACACACACACACACACACACACAAACGACATAATGAAGACTTAGAGGGGAAAAGCAATGAATCATTGTGTTGACCTAGCCAGGTTTCCAACCTGGTGGTACTTCAGTAGGGGTGACTTCATTATCAGGGCCACAGGTTTGGCTGCACCTGGTGTTGTATAAATCCACTGTGACATCCCTAGAGAACTGTACTGTGACATCCCTAGTCTTACACTAAACCACTGTAATAAAGGAAAAGGCTTGTCAAAATCTCACATGTTCTGCTCATTCTGTCATTTTATTACCCAATTATCCATTACATTTTCCAATCACTTTACATAACCAACCATTTTCATCGTTGTCACACTATTGTAAACCACATCAGCAAGTTAATACATAAAGCTTTGCATTTCAAAAAACTAGACACTTTAGTAACAATATTACAAAGGTTTTAGCTTCAAAAATAACTGAAAATGAAAAAAATAAACTTTTAAAGAATTAGCATCATAAAATTAATTTATTCCAAGTAAAAATACAAAATAATATTATGACATTGACCAGATATGAAAGTCCCTCCCAGAAACAACTCTATTAATGATTGAGAAAGCACTCCTTAAAGAAAATACGAAATAAAATGAAAAATATGTAAATATGTTTAATTTTTTTCTTAGCAAAAAATCTTTCTAAAAATAACAATGAAAATTTGTCTCAGTACAAAGGCTACATTACTATTGAAAAAATACCAGCATGAAGAAAAGGTACATATTTGACAGTAGAAAAATGATTTCAGTGAATCACAATGTCTAAAGTTTGCAATGAAAATAAATCTGCAATAAAGATTTATGCCTTTTTTCTTTTCTTTTTTTTTTCTATTTTTTATACAAACAGTACAAACAGTATTGCACATAACAACAAATAGTCGAGGTTAGGTTATAGCCTTCAAAAAATCGACTAGTTCAAGTGTCACATCAAGGAAAGGCCACAACAGGACCTGTGATACCCAGGGGCTTCCCAGTCAAGTTGCAAGTCAGAACACCTCTGTGTTTTAAAAAATAATTTTTTTTGAAGGACCCTCTCTTTTAATATAACATTAACAACTTGGGGGCACATTTATTTACAAAACAAAAGGGAACATGTTATAATTTAATAAACTAAAAAAGTTCTCTTTAAAAAAATACAAACAGAAGAACTCTTTCACAATCCTGGTCAGTCGTGCACAATCAACGCTTGATTATAAATATACAAATTAAGGGAAAGTAGTTTCCACCATCTATTCACAACTTTCAGCACCAAATGGAGTTTTCGTTTTTGGAACCTGCTCTTCAAGACAATGGTTTTTCACCTTCACGTTAGCTTCATGCTGTACAATCTCCCAGCTTTTTTTCCTTATCTCAGCGTTATTTTAGTACATGAAAGAGGGGTGCTTCTTCAAAAAGTTTCGCTTCTTTCACATAATTAGGTAGATTTCTGTAGGTTAGATATGATCTTTAATATTATAGTTATAAAGCTCTAACTTCTTCATTTTCAAAAAACACAAATAAGCATGAAAAAAATAAAGTTACCCATCTGTTAAATCATTTTTCTTGCAGAATTAAATTAATATATATTTTTCTGAATAAACTTACTTAGAAAATATCATTTTCTTTCCTATATTTCAAAATTGAGGTATTGCAAAAGATCATGTCAGTCAGAAAGCATGCCTTTTTCCTTAAAAACAAACAAACAAAAAAATCTTCAGCCAACTTTTGAAAACTGTCTAGAATACAAAAAGTAGTAGTGCATAACAAAATTTCTTGTACAGATGAAAAAAACCACCAACATAGAAAAAAACAAACAGAAAACCACAGCTGGGCTGGAAAAAAGCAATTATTACCAAAAAGCCCAGAGGTAACCTCAAAAGGGGAATATTCTAATAAGCATTTTTAATCCAGTAAAAAACTATTTTGTTTTTCCATTTTGAAAACAAACTATAGTTGGAGAGCTGGTAATTGCAACTAAACACTGGAGAAACAGAACAAAACAAAAACAAGCAATATTAACTTAAGACGGTACAAGGACATCACAGCACATAAAACACAGCGACTTAAATCTATTCTGCAGTGTCATATCCAGTCAGATTGTCCCCAGAATTCCAAAACATAGGAAGAAGATTAAAAAGAAGATCTACATAGTCTCACAATCATTGTGTGTGTTTATATATTACTATCTGCAGCCCAAGAGTGAATGCTAAAAATGTCCATGGTAGTCCTAGCAGGTCTTCCTTCTATTCAAGCTTTACAGGATAAACCCAGGGAATTAAGTAGTTAATTTCTCACCCAGACAACCAACCCTGCCCAGGCCATCTTATTTTGTACAGACATTTCTTTAGCATCACCAGCTCGCAACTTTCTTAAAATGTGCCTAGTTTGTCAATCTGACAACTTATCTCTATATACTGTATATATTCCTAGTGTTTGTAAGCTAAGATGAGCTCTTTGGTTTTCTGGACAAGGTCTGAAGCTATGTAAAATGGTGCAAGCACTAGGAGATTGTAACTAAGAGCTCATGTGTTAGTTAATAATATACCAGTTATGAACTGTCAAGTTCGTTAATGTCTGACACAGAGGCTTTAAACAGTTAAGTTTAATCACAGTTAGACATAATCACTTTACTATATAAAATAAATTGCACAATATATAACAGAGCACCGCAAAGTACTTCATCTACCATCCACAAATTTGCTTTAAGAATATCCTACACCTAGGTTTTATATTGGTTGTAATATAGGTCATTCTGTGATGGGCTCTTCCTTATTTCAGAAGCATTCCATTATTGAGGCATGCCTTCCTCCAGTCAATTACCAATTCTTTGAATGAAAAAATCTTTTAAAAAAATCAGTATTTTATAGCTTATATAGGTTCTTAATTTGTGCATTGTGGGAAGGTTTTATACTAGACATTGGATATAAAATTTATTGCATGCAGCAACCTGATTGAGTAAACATGCAGTCAGAAATAGTGGCCTTCCGTTGAAGCTTTCTGACGTCTATTCTGAGCTCCTTCTGGCAGCTGATTCTATACCTAAATCACAAGAGTGTGTCGTTGGGTTTTTTTTTAATTGATACTTTAGCCTGGATAGAGTATTATGGTATTAATAATACCATTTTAATAGCAGCAAAAGCTATTGCAGCATAAATTTACATAACACTAAACGATCTAACCAAAATCCTCAGCAAAACCAAAATTAAACATGAAGGAAAAATAAAGATTCAGCTTATGAGGTATCCTTACATGTCAAAATAGAGAGCAACTAAAGGCTTATTTTCATTAAGGGTTGTCCTTACTCTAAATGACCCCAACTAATGACTGCTGACTTGTTGTGAAGTTTTTGCTACATCTGCCGCCTACTCCCGAGTATTACCTTTGGTAAGTCTTCTTCTAGGGGCAACTCTCTATGTTTCTGAAAATAAGTGCATGCTCCAGTTTAAAAACAATCAGAACAACAACGACACAACAACAACAACAAAATGTCACAGACATCAACCTGATGGCCGCAGATGAGAATGGCAGTCTACATACTGTCACGAGTGACAAATCAGGTGTAAGAAATTAAGGTACCAAGCAGACAAAGGTGTGAATCAAAGTGCAAATCAGTACCGTTACACACTCTGCAATTCTGCATTATACTGAGTTCAGTAATATGACTGTAAATAATAATAATAAAAAGACCCATTTCTTCTTTAAAAATCGAGAACGAATGCACAGATTTCCAGAACACTGTAAGCCCTGAGGCAGTGCCCTCTCTTTTCCCTCCTTGTTATCTACTCCAGTACTTGTGGCTGGGTCTGCCCTGGGCTCAGCTCCAGCGGAACGGGACATGACGAGGGCGGTCGCCTCCCTCCTTCACCAGCGGTTTGTGGAACTCCCGCCCGGCGCGGGAATGGATGCTCGCCCAGCAGTATTCGCAGTAATACTGCAGACAGGTGACGTTGGCACAGAAGAACGGGGCAAACTTCCCACCACAGCGTGTGCCCTGGCACTCATCACACATCTGATCATCCAGCACATATGGCTTCACTTCCACCTGGACCCAAAGAGGAAAGATAGGAAAAAAGGTTTAGCAAAGCTTCCTCGTGTTTCTCCCTTTTGTGAGTTGACAGTATAGCTTAATAATACGTCTCAGTCAGATCCTGCTGCGAACTCAGCTAGTATTGAACGGTAGCCGAGAGCATGGGCTTCAGAATCTGCTCCTTGATTTACTAGTTGCGTGATTGTAGGTAAACACTTAACCTCTCTCTGTGCTTCTGTTTGCTCCATCTGAATAGCTGTAAAGTGGGTATAACATTTGTACACATACACACATACTTGTATACCTATAAAACAAGTATAAGAGTGTCTTCCTCAAAGGGTGCTGCTGAGGATTAAGAGAGGTAGCAATGTGAAAACACACGAGCTGGATTCTGAAGGCCGGGCAGCACCTGGCAACGCGGGACAAGGAAGAGCGTTTCAGGGAGAGGAATCAGCTAGGACAAAGCCCGGAGGCAGGCGAGTGTGGGGCACATAGTTGGGGAATGGACTGGCAGGAGGCTGGCAAGGCAGGCTGAAGGGTAATGCTTCCGTAAGGCTCTGTGCTTCAGTGTTTTAATGACAAGGCTTCCAAAAGACCAGCATCCCAGCACTGTACACAGTGGACCAGAGGGAAAAGGGGGACCAGCGAGAGGTTAAGAAGCTACTATAGTAACTGTGGCTTTTTCATTTTTTGGACTTTAATGCCTTAATCTCCCCCCAAGACTGGAAGCTTCAATGGAGAATGTTTCATCACGGCCCCTCAGGGGGCATTTTATAATCTAAATGAAGCAACATTGTATTATGTGAAAACGAAAAGCAAGAAAGAACAAAAGTTACCACAGTTTTCCCCTACGTCCTCTTCCTAGAACCTCAGAGAAGGAACATCATTAATGTTTTCATCTCAAATGTCAGAAATTAGCAGGAAGGTGGCAAGTCTGTGATCAGGCTCCTTCCCATACCCACCTCCAGAGCCACTCTGGGGAAGAGCAACCATTGTGGCCGCTGTGGCTGTGCAGACGGGGACAGACGGAGACCCACAGTCTGTGACATGAGCTGACCGCCTGACAACTCAGGCTGCCTCTGGATGCACCAGGAGGCTCTGCAGGCACGAGGCAGGCTGCACAGAAGGCGCAGCAGGGGGGACAGCACGGGGGAGCAGGAAAGGTAGGGGCTGCCCAGGATCAGACACCCAACTTTCCTGGTTCTCCTTCCCTTCCGAAGGCCCCTTTACTGGCCTCCTGGAGAGTTCTGTCTCCAGCCACGAGCTCTAGTCCACAGGCCCACCGGCCAGCTAGAGATTTCTTCTTGGAAGATCTGTCTGAGAAGATCTGTACCAGCTCTTGGTTACGCAGGGGGAAAATGTCTTTACTCTGGCTCTAGTTCCCTTCCTCCTATTTCCTCCTTCTCCACCTGATAAATTAGTGAGTGGGCTTCAAAAAAATCTCTCACATTCACCTCTGCATCATAATTAAAACTGCAGTGGCTTTGGGGTTATCTGCCTGGATTCAAATCTAGGCCACGTTAGTAGCTGTGCAACCTTAGGCAAGTTTCTCAGCCACTCTGAGCCTGTTTCCTCATCTGTACACTGGGGGAAGAGAAGAGTTCATACGTTATAGGGTTCCTATGAGGATGAAATGAGTTAAATCACATAAAGCACACAGAACAGCTCCTGGCACATCATAAGCACTAAGCATAGGTATTATACCTACTGCTTCCTCTCTAGTCTGGGCTATCACAACTTGCACCTGGATGTGTTCAGTATCGATGGCTCCAAGCTCCAGGCCTTCCCTGGTTCAATTCTCCTATGTACACCTTGACATTTCAATAATCTACTTTCACAACGTTCCTCTCCTGGTCAAAAGCCATCCAGATTCTCCACTGCTTACAGGATTAAGCCCAGCTACCTCAGTACAACAGGGTATTCTCTGACTCCCACGATTCAAATATAAGCCAGATTTGCCCCAATCTCTCTCTCAACTAGTCCCCAACTTAAACTTTACCTGGTCTCTATTTTTACTTGCACTTTCTTCCCACTTTAAATGTTCTCTATAGGGACCGGCCCCGTGGCATAGCGGTTAAGTGCGTGCGCTCTGCTGCTGGTGGCCCGGGTTCGGATCCCGGGCGCACATGGATGCACTGCTTGTCAGGCCATGCTGTGGCGGCGTCCCATGTAAAAAAAAATGGAGGAAGATGGGCACAGATGTTAGCCCAGGGCCAGCCTTCCTCAGCAAAAGGAGGAGGATTGGCATAGATGTTAGCTCAGGGCTGATCTTCCTCACACACACACACACACACACACACACACACACAAAATGCTCTCTATAAATGCTCAGCCCACTCAACAATTCATGTATCCAATGAGGCCTAGTCTTTCTTTTCTTTTTCTTTTTTAACATAAAATTAACAATTTTAAAGTGAACAATTCAGTGGCATTTAATACATTCACAATGCTGTACAGCCACCACCTCTATCTAGTTCCAAAACATTTTCATCATCCCAAAAGGAAACCCTATACCCACTAAGCAGTTATTCTCCCTCCCCACTCCCCACCCCTTGGCAACAACCAATCTGTTTTCCGTCTCTGTGGATTTACCTATTCTGGATTTTTTTTTTTTTTGTGAGGAAGATCAGCCCTGAGCTAACATCCGTGCTAATCCTCCTCTTTTTGCTGAGGAAGACGGGCTCTGAGCTAACATCTATTGCCAATCCTCCTCCTTTTTTTTTCCCCCAAAGCCCCAGTGGATAGTTGTATGTCATAGTCGCACATCCTTCTAGTTGCTGTATGTGGGACACGGCCTCAGCATGGCCGGAGAAGGGGTGCGTCGGTGCACGCCCGGGATCTGAACCCGGGCCGCCAGTAGCGGAGTGCACGCACTTAACCGCTAAGCCACGGGGCCAGCCCTATTCTGGATATTTTATACAAATGGAATCATATAATATGTGACCTTTTGTGTCTGGCTTCTTTCATTTATCGTAATGTTTTGAGGTTCATCCATGCAGCAGTATTCCATTCCTTTTTATGACTGAATAATATTCCATTATACATGTATGTGTATGTATGTATATATACCACATTTTGTTTATCCTTTCATTCACTGATGGATATTTGGGTTGTTTCCATCTTTTGGCTAGTGTGAATGGTGCTGCTGTGAACATGTATGTACATATATTTGTTTGAATACCTGTTTTTAATTCTTTTGAGTATATACCTAAGAGTAGAATTGCTGGGGCATATGACAATTCTACGTTTAATGTTTTGAAGAACTGCCAAATGGTTTTCCACAGTGGCTGTACCATTTTACATTCCCACCAGCAATGTATCAGAGTTCCAATTTCTCTACACATTCACCGACACTTGTTGTTTTCCATTTTTGTTATTACAGCCATCTTAGTAGGCTGAAGAGGTGAGAAATATCTAGTCAAGTCCTTTGTCCATTTTTTAACTGGATTGTTTGTCTTTTTGTTGTTGAGTTATAAGAGTTCTTTATATATACTAGATATTAGACTTTTATCAGACATATGGTTTGTAAATAATTTCTATTTTGTAGGTTGTGTTTCACTTTCTTGATAATGTCCTTTGATACACAAGTTTCTAATTTTGGTGAAATCCAATTTATCTATTTTCTTCTTTTGTTGCTCCTCCTTTTGATGTCATATCTGAGAATCCACTGCCAAATCCACGGTCATGAAGATTTACCCTTGTATTCTCCTCTAGGAATTTTATGGTGTTAGTGCCTATATTAAGGTCAATTGATTTTGAGTTTATTTTGTATATAGTGTGATGCAGGGGCCCAACCCCCTTCTTTTGCATGTGGATATCCAGTTGCCCCAGCACCATTTGTTGGAGAGACCATTCTTTACCCTCTGAATGGTCCTGGCAACCTTGTCGAAAAAAATTAGTGGCCCAGCCTTCCTTAACTATTTTAGTCCTACAGGGATCTATTCCTTCCTCCTTTGAACTTAATACTTCACATTGTTCCTCTGGCGTTTCCTATCGATAGTCCTGTCCTGGTCAGCATTTATCCATAGCTTCAAGCAACTTGAGGACAGAGTCCTGGAGCAAGACAGGAGGGTGGCAGATCTGGGAAAGATTGTGGTCTGCAGAGATTGTGGGCTCCTGGGGTAAGGGAGCTATAGGCTTGTGAGAGTGTGTCTAACCTGGCCTGATCTCCCTGCATCTGAAGGCCAAGAAAGAGCCAAAATGGTGGAATGAATCCCCTCTGCCCCAAGACCGGAAGACCACTGGTAGAGGCGGGCATGCGGGGAAACAGCAGCAGCCAGCTTTCCACCTCCAGTCTAGGAGCTGACTGCCTTGCCTCTACCACCAGGTAGACATCTATGCTCAGGGTGCTCCAGGAACCAGAGCTGAGCCCCAGTAAGCCTAGAAAAGGGAATCTAGCAGACAGAGAGAGGACTAGTCTGAACAAAGAGAATTCACACTCAGCAAGAGAAAGCTGCTGGAGGAAAAAGACAGTAGCCATTGATAATATATACCATTTATAAATGGCACATAGCCATTTATCAATATGAAAAGAGCACTTAAGGAGATTCAAGTCTAGCACAAAGAAGATTTTCTGGTAATATTATGTTTTCCCCCTCAGGTTTGTTTCTTTTTTAAGAGCTTTAAATAATTTTTTTAATTGAGGTTGAAGTCACAAAAAATGAACTATTTTAAAATAACAATCCAGGGGCATTTAATACATTCACAATGTTGTGTAACTACCACCTCTATCTAGTTCCAAAATGTTTTCATCACCCAAAAAGAAAACCTGATACTCCTAGTTTTATTTTTTTAAAAACTCTTTTTTAGAGATACATACTAAATTATTTAACTGAATTATTTCAGGATGAAATTATATGATGTCTTGGATCTGTTTCAAAATAACCTGAAGTTAGGATGGGAAAGTGAGTAGAGGTATAGATGAAACAAGATTGGTCACAAGTTGATAATTATTGTAACTGGATGGTAGGAACATTGTATGGTGGTAATTGTTGTAAATGGACGATGGGGTTCAT